ACCATCACCTCAGTCCCCTGTGCTCTTCCCTCCCTCCCTCTGATCCCTCTCCCTCCTCTTCCCCTGCAAGATGTCTCTGATTTGTAATTGGTTTTGCTTTGTTGTGTTTTGTACTGTTATTATTTTTTTCCCCGATGTCTTGTTTGGTTCCCCTATATTCCTCCTATAAGTGAAACCATCTGATATTTTTCTTTTTCCTTCTGGCTTATGTCACTGAGCATAATTCCTTCTAGCTCCATCCACATTGCTGCGAATGGCATGAGTTTATCTTTTTTGATTGTGAGTAATATTCCATTGTGTCTACATAGTACATCTTCTTGATCCAGTCATCTATTTTCTGAAATCATTGTTCTTCTGAATCAATGTTTTTGTGTCCTTTGGGTAGATCCCTAGGAGTGGAATTGCTGGGTCATCTGGTAGCTCCATTTTTAGTAGACTGACTTAAAGAGAAGAGGAAAAAGGGAAGGGGGCAACTATGGGACTCCCAACATGTCAAAATATTTAAAATAACAGAAATAGAGCATGTGTTTCCCAAAAGTCGGTGACATGAGAAATGAATACAAGAATGATACAAGAAATGAAAAGAAATAAGAAACTTAGTAACAAAGGATGCAAGAGGTGAGAAAGAAGAAATGCTAAAAGGTGGGGAAAACAAAGTACAAGATGGTAGATTTTTTGTTTGTTTGTTTAATAACATGGATTCACTATGATGATTGGATTCATCTGACTGGCAGAGATGACAGATGTTGGTACAGATGTTACTGTAAAAATATAATGTTATTATTAGGCCACACATGCTATGAATATATATTTCAGTGGGTGTCTGTACATCTATGAAAGTATTTAAACATAAATCCAACCATGTTGGATGGAATTTTATTACATGAATATAAATTTTTTTTTTTTTAGTTTTGATAGACTATCTTTTATTTTATTTTCTTTTTTCTTTTTTTCTTTTTTTTTTTAAAGATTTATTTATTTATACAAGCACTGGGTACAGTCAGAAGCGCGGGAGGGTGAGAGAATTCACCAGAGCCAGAGGGGAGAGCAGAGCAGGCAGACTGACGAGGTACACTGCTGAGGGGAGCAGCGGGCGGCAGGAGAGGTCTGCGCGCCATGTGGGACCCTTCCCAGTGGCCGGGGATTGAACCGGCGCTGCAGAGGCTGTGGGCAGCTTCGCAGCCCAGCGCTCAACCGCTACGCCACCGGGGAGGCCCTATTTTTTATTTTTTTTAATAAATTTTATTTTTATATTCCCCATACAATTGCAACCCCCCCATTCTGACCCCAATCCCTCCCCTCCCCCCCCCACCCCCAAAAAGTGTCTCTGGTTCATAGTTTTTTGTTGATTTTGATTTTCACTTTCTTATAGTTATTCATTTTCCTGGTCCCTTATTTAAGTTTTCTAGATTCCTGCTATGAGTGAGACCATCCGGTATTTTTCTTTTTCTTTTTGACTTATTTCGCTGAGCATGATCCCTTCCAGCGCCATCCATGTTGCTGCAAATTGCATGTGTTTATCTTTTTTGAATGCTGAGTAATATTCCATGGTATATATGTACCACATCTTCTTGATCCAGTCATCTATTTTTGGGCATCTGGGCTGTTTCCAAAGCTTAGCTATTGTAAATAGTGCTGCTATAAACATAGGGGTGCAGGTGCTCTTTGGAATTGATGTTTCTGTGTCTTTTGGGTAAATACCTAGGAGTGGAATTGCTGGATCATATGGAAGCTCTATGTTTAGTAGGTCCAGAAATCTCCACACAGCTCTCCATAGTGGTTGGACCAGTTTGCACTCCCACCAACAGTGCAGGAGAGTTCCTTTTTCTCCACACTCTCGCCAACATTTGTTGTTGCTAGTTTTTTTAATATGTGCCATTCTCACTGGTGTAAGATGGTATCTCATGGTAGTTTTGATTTGCATTTCCCTGATTACAAGTGATGTTTAACATTTTTTCATATGCCTGTTGGCCATTTGCATTTCCTCTTCAGAGAAGTTTCTTTTTAGCTCTTCTGCCCATTTTTTGACTGGATTATTTTCTTTGTTGTTGTTGAGTCTCATCAGCTCTTTGCAGATTTTTGTGATCAGTCTTTTATCATTAGTGTTGTGTGCAAAAATGTTCTCCCAGTCGGTGGGGTTTCTCTTTGTTTTTGTTATTGTCTCTTTTGCTGTGCAGAAGCTCTTTAATTTGATGTAGTCCCAGCTGTTGATCTTTGCCTTCACTATCACTGCTTTGGGTGATGTGTCTGTAAAGATGTCTTTGATGTGCAAATCACGTAGTGTTTTGCCTATATTTCCTTCTATATATTTTATGGTTTCAGGTCTTATGTCTAGTTCTTTAATCCATTTTGAGTTGATTTTTGTGTATGGTGTGAGGTAGTGGTCAAGCTTCATTCTTTTGCATGTAGCGACCCAGTTTTCCCAGCACCATTTATTGAACAAACTTTCTTTGCTCCAATGCATAGTCTTTGCTCCTTTGTCAAAGATTAGTTGACCATAAATCTGTGGGTTTATTTCTGGATTTTCTATTTGATTCCATTGGTCTGTTACATGAATATAAATTAATAAAACTATACAGTTACATGACAGTTATGGTCAAACCTAATTACAAAAAATCAAACTACTCTATATACTACTTATAAAACACACATCAAAAGCATAACGATCAGGGGTCTCCCGGTGGCCTATGGGTTAAGTCTCAGGGCTATCACCACTACAGCCTGAGTTTGATCCCCGGCCAGGGAGCTACCCACATGGCACAGCAGACCTCTCCTGTCTCGCCAACTGCTCCGCTCAGCAGCATATTTCAGTGGATCTGCCTGTTCTGCTCCCCACTCTGTCTCTGGTGAATCCTCTCAACCCCTGTACCTCTAACCCAGTTCTTCTACACAAAAATAAATACAATCTTAAAAAAAAAGCACAAGGATCTAGGAAAGTTGAAATTAAAAGGATGCACAAAGGTGTAGGGTAAGTACTGACCTACCTTGTCTATGTGGCTATATTAATATCACACAAAATAGATTTTAAGGCAAAAGGAATGATGGAAGTTTCAATTTACTAGGAAGACAGAAGTACAAGGAAAGATGACAAATCCACCTTCATAGAAGGCACGTATAACACACCTCTCTGTGTAGCTGATAGATCAAATAGACAGGAATAGGGAGATTTGAATATCATAGGTGAACAAGTTTGAAGTGACGGCGTGTAAAGAGAACATGGAACCCGTAATTGCAGAATCCCATGGAACATCAGATTAACTATATTGTAGGCCAAAAGAACAATTCTCAACACGTTTCAAAGAGCTGGTTCCATCCAGACCATAATCTCTAATTGCGTTGCAATTTTATCAGCACTAAATAATAACATAAAGATCTAGCCCCCCAAAACCATATGTTTGGACATTAAAAAATTTCTAAAATTGAGTCAATGAAAAAAAAAACGTGACTTAGAGCCCATTTAGAACTCTAAATAATGAAAATTCCACAAATCAAAACTTGTGGTATCCCACGAATGCCACTTGCAGAACGAAATTCACAGCCACTCAACCTTCTACCCACAAAGAAGAAAGGCTGAAAATGAATGAGCACCCGACTTTAAAAATTGGACAATAACAACTTAGAAGACCCATTAGAGCAGGAAGAAGGTAACAACAGAGATACAATTAGATATTCATTAAATTAAAAAGTCGAAATACCAGAGAAGATCTGGGTTTTCTGCAAAGACAACAGACCTTTCTGGAAAGACTGAACCAGAAAAAAAGAAGCTACAATCACAACGCTGGTGATCGAGAATCGAACATACGTCGTTGCTAAAGTCTCCTGACCCGAGTTTCTGCACCAGCGCGGGCCGCTGTCTCTCAGGGACTGCTGCTGTTCTTGCCTGCCGTCTACACCTGAGCCAGCAGCTGCTTTGACTGACCAAGGTGCTGGGTCCCGGGACGCCCGGGCAGGTACTCGTTTGTTCTCCAGACTGTGGCCTGTGCTGGCTGTTCAGATTCAGCAGGTAGAACCCCCCCTTCTGAGTCAAGGCCGAGGACAGTGAAGAATTCTGCGGTGGATACAGAGTAGATACCAGGATGATGCCATCTTACGGACTCAGCCATGCCTTGGAGATATAGTAGATTGGGTTCTAGACCGTCTAAAGCGGGTATCTCCATAAAGCGAGTCATGATTTTTTTTTTTTTTTTGTTTCTCGGTACATAGAAAAGTTATGCTTACACTCTCTGATAGTGTGTTAAGTATGCGGTCAGATTCTATCTTTAAAAAAATAAAACAACGTTAAGTATCTTAATTTAAAAATACTTTATTGCAAGTCCAAAGGGGAGCGATAAATACTTGTGGACTATAAAGAAACAAAACAGAAGGTTAGACAAAACCAAGCCAATAACAAACCCTTGACATTTGACTATGAAACCAAGGCCCCCAGAAAGGGGAGGATGATGGGTTGGGAGGGCAGGATAGAGGGGTCCAGTGGAGCTGGTGGGGGTTATTGGGGCGATGGTGGTGGGAATGGTGTGAGAACACATTTGTAGAGGTTTGATCTATAGCCCCTAAAACAAATACAATGGTGCAAACTAACTTTACTGCAATTAAAAAAATATATATCAAATTCCAAAAAATTACTTTTTTGCCCCCCCCCCCAAAAAAAGGCTCACCTTTATCCAGGCCTTCAGTGAGGGTTACTCTTTTGGCTGATGGCAGGCCTTTTAAAAAATTCCACTATAAAATGAGGTCTGCCTTTTGAGTGGGAAAGTTATAGAATTCCAAGACTGATATTCCAGGGCCAAAGGACCTCTGCACTGATCACCAACAAGTGCCAACCATGAGTAAGGACGCATCATAATCCCCAGGAGACAGACAAAACACAGATAGTCACCCCCCCGGAAGAGGTGGATCCGCTCCCCTTTGCCTCTTAAGCTACACAGGGAGCTCCTAGGTTCTGTTTCACTGCTACCCTGTTTGAGCTCTTCTCCCCCAAAAATGTAACACCGAGTGGGCAAATCTAGTCTTTTGAGACGCTGCCACTGGCAGTCCCTAAGCTTACATTTTCTTTTTTTGCAGGCTCCCCGATTCTTCTCCGCCAGCACCCCGCCAGCGAGGCACCCCAGCTCTGCAGCAGTTGGCACCTCCTATTAACGGCTTTGCGCACCGCCGAGGAGGAGAAATAAAAAATCAGGGGGTCGATGCATGCATTGAGAGCGCCCAGGAACACCGCGCACGCCCGCCAGCCTGGACTGTCACTGTGGATGTACCCCAGCACGTGAGACACATTGTAAGGCCCAAAACAGACCAGGAAGTTGAAGAGGGTCACGGCGGCCAGAGCCACGGCTCTCCAACGCTTCTGGGCCCCCACGTGGGGCCGGGAGAGCATGATCCGCACGAAGCGCCAGTAGCAGAAGATGGTGACGGACATGGGGATGAAGAAGAGGACGAGGCACAGCTCCAGCCGCACGGGGAGCAAGACAGCTTCCTGCTCGGCGGTGAAGTTATCATAACAGACTGTCGTGTTTTCGTTTTGCATGGAAAGGACGATGATCACGATGCTGCAGTGGCCGAAGGACATGACCCAGGCGACCAGGGCCGCGATCACCCCATACACTGGCCGGCGGTACAGCTTGTACTGCATGGGGAAGGCCACGCTGCGGTAGCGCTCGATGCTGATGCCCGCCAGGAGCCACGTACTGCAGTAGATGCCGCTGTAGAAGCCGTAGGCAGTGAGGGTGCAGGCTGTGTGGGACAGGGGCCAGTGTAAGTCATATGCAGCCTCGATCATCTTGAAGGGCAGCAGCAGCAGCAGCAGGAGGTCGGCCAGCGTCAGGCTGAGCAGCAGGATGTGGATGGGGGCAGGCTGGGGCTGGCGCACCCGGCCCACGAAGGCCCGCAGGGCCACGAGGTTGGCAGGGAGACCGATGAGGAAAGAGATGATATAGAGAAAGAGAAGACACAAGTTTCGGATCTGGATGGCCATCCTTTCTGAAAAGACAAAGATGGGGCAGATTGCTCGCTGACCATGGGTTTCCAGCCCCCAGCCAGGGTGATCCCATTCTCAGCGTCACTGCATTCATTTAGGATTCTCGCTAACCTGCAAAGAGTACTATTCCACTTCCGGTTTGTTGGCAGGTGGCGGAGAGTGGGGGCGGGCGGAGAAGGCACCCTAATCTCCAAATGAATTCTTCCTTTTGCACCTTCCTCCTCTCTATTTCTACCTTACCAAAGGGACAGAGAAAGAGGAGACAATGTGAATTTGTTCCTAAGAATGCTGATGAGCCAGAAGCTGTCATAGGGAAAGTTCTGAGGTCTCCAAGTCCACACTGTGCCCGTCACGTGAGAGTAGCGACATCATCTGTCTTGTCCAGAGTACCCAGCACATCACAGGTGCATAACAAACACCTGTTGGTAACTGAATGACTATGTGACCTGCGGGGAGGGAGACAGCTGCCTATTCCATAGGGCAGGAGCAAGTGCCAGACTGTTTCTGAGTTTCTCCAAACTCCCTTCAGCCTGCTTGTGACTTCTCGCTCTCCTTAGCTTTACTGCCTTTTCTTTCCTCTCCCTGTGTCACCGTGTTATGGCAATTTCCCAGAGAAACCAGACGGTGCTCAGAGAGGTGGAGAGAGAGAGAGATAATTGTCACACCAGCGGGCTCAGTGGAATAGCTCCCAAAAGTCTCAGCCCCGAAGAACAGGAAAGGCAGGGTTTTATACAGGTTGTGAGGAAACTCGTCACCCCATCCATCATAGCATAAGCATTCTTTATTGTTTGGGAAGGGGGCCAAGGTAGTCGTGGCTACCACTGTGGACAAGCAGTAACCCAGCAACTTCTCCGTTCCAGCAAGCAGCAGAATCTAAGCAGCAGACTCCCCCAGGCAGCAGACTTAGCAACTTCCTGCTTCAATCCAGCTTGAACACAAGCTTTGCCCTGAAAATGGGGTTTGGTTAAGGCTGAGGGAAAAGCAGGGGAGGCCCCAAGTGAGTCTCAGTGCCCTGCTTCGTGACCCCATGCTGAGCCACTCAAAGAAAACCTGTCAGTTCCTGTGCAGTAACGGAAGGGGCCTGAGCTGGGCCAGGTCACCAGGATTCTGTCCCGGGCCCCGGCCTCAGGTCAGCCACGTGACTTGAAAAGATCACCCAGGCCCTGCCTGCACCAGCTTGTCCCCCTCTGCACCACACAGAAACCGTGCGTCCACTGAAATCACAATTCCCGGACGCTGCCTGCAAACTCGCTTTCGCCCCGCGAAGGAAGCATGAACATGTGGGGTTTATGTCAACCACCAGTAATCTTGAACCGTCTCTAATTTACCATTAAAACGCAGACATTGAAAATAAACTTGAGTCCTCGCCTTATGACTGGCAACATGGCACTCCTGGCCCACCTGCGACTCTCTTTCCCCATTCAGAGGATCTCAGAAGTGGAGGACCAGGTGGCCAGGGAGATGCCCTGACTGCTTGGGCCTGAGCTCACCTTCTGTTTGTCTCCAGCTTCTCCCCCGACCCCAAACCATCTCTCCACGGACTTGTCCTGCCCTCTCTTCCTTTTCTGGGACCTTGTCCCTCCCCTCCTTGGATGCTGACCCCTCCCCCCTTCTGCTACCTCGTTGGAAGTTTCTCTCCACGTACTCCTGTCCCGTCTCTTCCCAACCCCTTCTGCCCTGAGCACCAGCAACATCAAGTGCCTTGCCTTTTCCTGGCGGTAGACAGACGCCTTTCACGTATGTCAGCCGCCGAAGCAGGGGAAGCTCTGTCCAGCTGGTCCACCTTTTCCTCTTCTACAAACCACAGGCTTTTATACCTGGAAGGGTCACGTGGTCACAAGGAGGAAGGTCAATAGCTGAGCTCTTCCCAGCGCTGCCTGGTCCTCTGTCCCCACCAAATTCTGTCTTCTAAGGCCTGGGAGCCTCTCCCCTTGCCTCCCAGAACCCAGACCCTAGCTGCCCAGGTGGATCTCCTCCTGCTGCTGCATTGCAAGCTCTGTCTTCTGTTTCCTTTCAGGACCAGTTATTCCGAACTCTTCTGCACACACATTCACGCCCTGCTCTTCTGATCTTTCTTCACCTGTCCGGCCTCCCTCCCACCCGCCTCCGGCTCTTTCCCCGTAGGGCCCCTGACCTGTTTAATTTCCTGTTTTCTTCCAGGAGGCTCCAGCTGAAGCTGCTTAGTAACTTCAGCATCGCCTGACTTCCTCTGGCCCCCCAGGCCCTTTCCTGCAAATGTCTCCCTCGTCCCGAGTCCGTGTTGCTGGCATGGTGAGTTGGGGCGTGGGTTTTTTCCCACATTCATTCCCTCTGCGGGGGGCTGTGCCCTGTTGGGGCCACCCTGGTGATGCCTCGAGGCAGACACGTGAAGACTCAGGTGCGCATGGCCGTTCTGTCTCCCCAGCGGATGTGTGTGTCTGGCCACTGGCTGCCAGGCCCTGCCAGTGGAGACTCTTGTTCTTTCCCCTCCACCCACCCCGGAAGAGACCCTCAGCCAAGCTTCCCCTCCAGAAAGGATCCCTTGTCACTTAGCTCATCACTCCCCGCCTTGGTGCCCCAGTGTCTATCTCTTTATACCCAAAGTCTGATCCTCCCACTGGGTGTCTGTCCTGAAATGCACATCCGGGAATTTGGTGCCGAGCACACACGATCACCTTCTGTTCTCTACCAAGTCACTTTGCACCATTTTGCTATCTGTTTTTGATTGAGCATCAGAAACTCAGAGGGGGCCTCCCTGGTGGCGCAAGTGGTTGAACGCAGCGCTGTGAAGCTATCCACAGTGCAGGTTCGATCCTGGCCGGCCAGGGGGCTACCTCTCCTGTCTCGCCTGCTGCTCCCCTCAGCAGTGTATTTCTGAACAGCAGTCAGTCTGCCTGTTCTGTTCCCCGCTCTGTCTCTGGTGAATCCTCTCACCCTCCCGCACATCTGGCCTGTACCCCGGTTCTTGTATAAATAAATAAATAAATCTCAAAAAAAAAAAAAAAAGAAAAGAAACTCACTAGAAGGCACAGATTCGTGTTTGAGCATCAGAAACTTACTGGGAAGCCAGAGTTTGTCAATAGGCCTGTCCTGTTGCTCTGAAATTCTTGCCCCCCACCCCACCCCCAGTCATGCAGAACAGACAGAAGGGTCAGGGGCAGCGCTGTGGAGGCCTTTCTGCCAGCAGGTGCCAGGGCCGTGGGCCATTTCCAAGACCCAGGGAGCCTCTCCTGTTCAGCTTGGTAAAGCTCAGTGCCACTTAGGGTGACCCCACTCCTCTTAGGGTGTTAGTGTTGAATCTGGGTAAGATCGGCTCTCCTGGAAGTGATGTTTTGACTTTTGTCCCGAGAGAAACACCTCGCCTGGTGCCCTGTAGCGGATGGGCACTAGGAACTTGTGGGGCCAGGGGGCCAGGTGGTGGTGCCTGTGAGTACTCGCCAGCAAGCCAAGGGCAGTGAGCACCTCCATTCTGTTGCCCCAGGTGCCGCTTTGGGGACGTCCTAGATGCTGAGGTCCTGGGATCATCAGAAAGGGGACTTTGTGCTAGGCTATTTCAGAAACATAAGCCTCTTGGGCCTCACGCAGGCTTGCGTCCTGGGAGCCGGCCGTGCCACTGGCGAGTCCAGCCCAGCTAAGCAGTGCTGCCGATCGACCGACCCGCGCCTGCAGGGGAGCCAACTTTCCACCACGCCTCGCTCCCAGCCTCCCACGCCCGCTGCTCCACCCTGGGCCCAGCCTGTCCTCCGCATGGCACGCTGGGGAGGTGAGTGGACAACACAGACAGTAAACAAGTAAGCAGACGAATCTGGAAATTTCCAGTGAAGGAGGGGACAATCTAGGTAACCTGGAGAATGGCTCGGGCGTGTGTGTCGGTATCTGCCCGCTACCAGGGAAGGCCTGGGCAGAGAAGGGATGTCTGAGAGTTGAGAAGAAGCCGGCTAAGCAAAGAACTTTCAGGTAGACGGGACAGCATGGGCCAAATGCCTGCAATGGGAACGAGCTTGCCATGGGGGAGGAACACAAGGAGGCCAGCGTGGCTGGGGAGGGACAGGTCAGATGCTCTGCCTCCCGGGCCGTGGCAGAGATGACTTTGGTCTGGACTTGTTTGACCTCGGAGGGTGCTTGTCTCATCCGTTGATCTTTGATATGTCCTGATAAGCGGCTGCAGCGTGTCAGAATTTGACACTCCCCATCTGGCTAGGTCCTCCTGATAGCTTCACAACACACATCCACCCCTGTCCTCTCAGCAGCAGCAATGGGGTGAGCATCCTCTGGGGGACCCCTGAAAATGGAATGACTGGGAAGCTTTTTTAAAAGATTTATTTTATTTATTTATGCATACAAGAGTTGGGGTGTAGGCTAGAGGTTCAGGGGTGAATGAGAGGAGTCACCAGAGAGGAGAGTGGGGAGCAGAACAGGCAGACTGACTGAAATACACTGCTGAGGGGAGCAGCGGGGAGACAGGAGAGGTCTGCTGCGCCATGTAGGTATTTCCCTGGCCGGGGATCGAACTCGTGCTGCAGTGGCTGCAGATAGCTTCATAGTACTGCATCCTAACCCCTGCACCATCAGGGAGGGCCAGTCCGGCGGCCTGCATCAACTTTCCACAGCTTGTCAAGTTGGCTGCTGTGGGGGAAGGGGTGTTAGAGACCCAGAAGGAAAGGGAGTCACAGACCGTGAGACCCCACTAGAGCAGCTGGAGCTGGGGCACACGGCCTCTGTGAGATGCTCACCTTGGAGATGGTGACGCGGTGCTACCATGGGCCCCGCATGACCCCCGAGCTGCAGCCGATGGGTGCCCTCAGCCAGCCACAGTATCTGGACTTTAGCCATGTCCACTCCCTTGCTTTCTCAGCCAAAAATGTTTAATTCCTTTGTTCTCAAGCCCTAGGCCCCTAGCCCTAGCCCTCCCAGTCTCTCATGCTCAGAGAGGCTCCCGGAGCAATCTTTTTGGCTCTTGTGCTAACCAGTAAACCCCGACTCCTTCCTGCTCTCCCTGGTGTCTGTGGGGTCCTCTT